AACATGGAGTACCTAACAGTAACCAAAATCTTTTTCATAAGTGAATTTTTCCCGTCTACTTCAACACCAGTACACTTTGATTCATAAGTAGGCATTGATACCAAATTTTTAAAAAAACTGTACGTAACAGAAATATGATAACAGGCAACCAATGCAAAATATGAATACATGTGTATATTAATTATGTATGCATGGCATTTACTACAATCAATAAGTCCCAAGCTTGAATTGTATTTTATCTGCTTGAGTTAAATCAACCGCATAGTATTAATAACCGTTGTACAAAGACTCCAGATCAAACCCGAGACCAGAAATCGATACTTTATAAGCTAGTTAAATAGTGTATACATTTTCATATGACCAAACAATCTATTCGCTATCTAAAATTCACAGTATGATTTGTGGAAAACTTTTCAATATTTTTTAAAAATTTGTTTTCATACTTTACTCGATTTTTCTGCTCTTAAAAAGGGAAAAAAATCACTTTGTCACAGGACAAAAATGAATACCGTTCCGCTTAAATAAATTCAATATTGAAATTTTTTTTAAAAAGTTTTTTTAATCGTTACTTTTAGTTCATTCGCTCGTTTTATTTTTCTTTTTTTTTATTTAAAAAAAAAGAAAAAAAGGCTGAAAATAATCGGTAAATATTGAAATTTATTAGTGTCAATATAAGAATGAATTCATAAGTCATAATTATCCATAAGTATCCATGTGAAGTAAAAGGGAATATATCTGCTATATTTCTATTACAAAGTTTCATGTTGACAATAAACGATTGTTTAGTATTCTTAAAATTTTGATAGTTCATCCGTTGAAATTATTCTATGCTGAAAAAATAATGACTTTTTCTTTTTGAATAGAAATTCTAGTACTTTTAATTGTAAAATAAAATTGTTAAGATCATGAGTCAGTTGAAGCTGGACCACCATGGAAAACCTGGAAGCACTGGACGGCCGTCCAGTGATCTTAACCATGGAAATTACTACAATCTCCACAAAACCCATCTGATATTAAATGAAATTGTGCTTAAATAATTTTTGAACACTGTTAATGTTGTAGTGAGTAATGTTTTAAGTGGTATTTGAATGAACGTTACCGACGTTATTTGCAGAATGTAAAGAAAAAAATCAATGAATATGATCAAGTTTCAAACATTTAATGACTGAGAATATGTGTATTACTCATGATTAAGTCTAACCTATAATAATAGTATGATATCATACTAGATAGATGAATATAATCAAAAAAATGCTTTGAACATAGAATTTGTATCGGGTGACACTCTTCAGAAATATACGTCAGTTATCTTGAAAAAAAAAACAATACTTCTCCTATGTGACTTGAACTCATTTGGTCTACCGTCACATTCATAGATTTTAGCAATGACCTATTTGAACGGTGACTGATTTTCTGTAAGATGGAAACATATTTAACAGATTGATCACTGAGTAATAAACAATTTCATGTTCGTCTAGTCCTTCGTTCTAAGTCAATGCCACGTATAAAGTGAAGTCGCGGCTACTGGTCAGTACTATACTAGCTGCTGTATAATCAGAATGGAAGAAAGCTGTGTACGGTTCATTCGAAATATGACGTCAATCCCCTGAGCCCCAAGATTAATAAAGTCAGAGATCCATTAGTTTGTCATGGTCATTAGTTGAATGATTATTTAATTATATAACTCGAAATCAGTCATCTTGTTGCATTTTTACGCATTTTATCTAACTGCAAATTATGGATTACTCGTTTTCCACCGCTGTTTAGCGATGAAATTTGAAAATGTGAACAGATACGTTGCTACCCTGACACACTCCATACTACTTCTCTCTTTTCGTGATAAGTGTCAATATGTCCAGAATTTCTTATATATTTATAATTATGTCGATATTTTAAGTACATTATTCATACATTACATACATACACGTTCGCGCTCGCGATCAACAGGTCTTGGGTTCGAATCTCGCGAAGTGGAATCGTGGATGCGCACTGCTGAGGTGTCCCACAATAGGACGAAACGGTCGTCCAGTGCTCCCAGGTTTTCCATGGTGGTCTACCTTCAACTGACTCATGATCTTAACTATCCACCATACCCCTTCTGATATATATCTTTTTATCTTGAACAGAAGACATACCACCATGGCATTAAAGAGATAACCACATAGTAAAATAATTAACTGATGATTGATACAATTTTACCATTGTAAGCAGAATTTAGATGTTTCTTATAAATCTACACAGTGATATGATTTTTTGTAACTGATTGTCCAACCCCTTACAAATCATATCACTACTCGAACTGTACTCTCGTCTATCACTAAATTGAGGTCGATTATTTTCGATATCTCAACTGGTTGTAAACTTCAGTTAGGTTATGATTAAAGTAATTTCGAATTTTTATGAGTAAAGCGTCACACTTCACTTCAAGTGATTTTAGAAATGAATTTTTGATTATTGTTCTGCAGAGTTTTGACTCAGTAGTTTGAACACTTAACCTTCAATAGTCAAGTTGAAATCTGGAAAATCAAGCCATCTCACTCAATTGCTTCATCGAAATCACTACTGTTTCAAGAGAGACATATGACCAAATAAACGCAACCAATGTATAATTTTTTCAAAAATCTTACTATACTGAAGTAAGTATTTTATACAAACATGCTTTATATTATATTGGTTCCTTTAAGCGAAATCATAAACCTCGCCTTTGCTACACGTAACCATCTGATAAATCTCGGCGATATGACATTCGATTAAGAAGTTTGTAAGGACTTTAGCGAAATTCATCTAATATCGTCTATGAATAAGTATCTCACTCCCAACTTCCAAAAAACAAGGCAAATTTTAATGAAAATAGAAACAGTTTGTTCAGACTTCCAACTCCAATCAATTAACCATGTAAGGCTATAAATTTCAATAAGAATGCCCCATTAATGGTGATATTTTGGATTTACTGAAGTTGGAAATTTGAACAAATCTACATCAGCGCAGTGGTCTTCAGGTTTCTTGATGGGTTCCCAGTTGACTTAGTAAATGACGGAAATTATCTTCAAGTATAAAATTCTTCTTGGCTCAAAATTCAATGTAACACACTATTACGTTAGTTTTTTATTAAAGAAAAACAAGCTATTAATAAGTAGCATAAAAGTTTACCCTATAGGTTCACATCAGCAGTCGTGAAATTTTAACAGCGGGCAAGCAATATCGGGGTACTAATCATCGGGAAACGATTAATTCAATAAAAAGGTCCTTTAAAAATAACTTTGGTGTACCGATGAATCACTGTGCAGTCAGTTGCAGAAAACTCCAGTGCATATTTCAATAAATTCATGTGTTTGCATGATGTGCGAGTGTTCGCTTACGTATTTTAATACGAACAGCAGACCTACCATCTTCATGTGATACAAAAAATGTGTACAATAACACATTGTAACCCAGTTGTACCTATGCATAGCTACCTAAAACTAGCAAACAAAATTTCGTATAATGCATTAAAAACCATGAGTATAGTTTACCCGTGAGTTTTCAAACTATTTTGAAAAAGAATAGAAAGCACTGCACTGAATATCACCAACCCGATAAATAGTTACTAAAGTCTTAACCTCTCTTTGTACATTTTAAGTTCTGGAGGTTTAAATTAAATTTAAAGACAGTCATCTAGTGAAGTATGTTTAGTTCAAGACGTACGAGCCATTTACAGTTTACCTGTAATGGCTGGTACTATTTCAGGCCCACATAGGTTATTCTAGACTCTGGAAAGATCAATTTATCCATCCTTCTTAAGTTACATTTTAACCTTGTCAGTTATTAGCTTATTAATCCTGACTGTTTTTTATATGATCGTATATGTGTTAATTGCTTACCTTACTCATTATGTGTCTGTAACTTATTTTTGTTCGACTATAAATATCGATTCATGCTTGGCTAAATTGAGTTGGCTTACTCACCTTCTCCATTGTCCGTCATTTTGTTTAGCTTCGCTTTTCGACCAAAGATTACGAAATATACGTATTCAAAAATCAATTCACGTATTTGTCTTATTTAATTCTCCTATTCATCAACACGATTTAAGTCGATGATTAAATACGAGGATTGGCGATATACATCTTTCGATAACAAGCAGAAACGATCGAACAGGAGTCAGATATGGAGCCACTAAATAACAATGTGTTTACTAATAAGTATTAGTTGGCATGGTATACAATGCTGACTAACATCCTAAAGTTACAATAATTGTGAGTGGTACGTAATATCTGGTATCACTCTTTTAAGTGTTCCCTTCATTTTTCATACATATAATACTCTCTAAGGTTTGTGATTTTATGTTATGGAGATGAAGGACTGGAACCGACCAGTCACTCTTGATACATGTGCAAAAGCCTAGACTTTGCAATTTCTGTGATAAACTATCAGTACATCTAAGTTGTGATTAGTAACAGTACCCAAGTCGAAAGTTCCGGCTTATTTGAGACTATCATCTAGACATATCTCTATCCCAGATTTTGTTAAGATTTCACATAGCTGCACAGAAGCGAAAACATCTAGCCTTTTTTGTGAGGTGGTTTTTAATACATCATAATCTCTTCAACACTTAGTGATACTGGGTTTTGTTACATCTGCAGTATGTTAAGAAATCAATAAGCTGTTTTTAAAGTTACTGAAATTGTCGATTTCATAATATTCCCTCTTATTAAACAAGATCATACCTATAGAATGTCTCATGAATAGACTTTTTTCGAAAGTCAGTTCATTCTTCTTCAGATTTATGTATTATATCAACCCAAAAACGTCATTATAATTTACTCCCCCGATTTATTTATACTGCAATCTACTGTTCACGACAAAATTTAGCAATATACCCCCAGTTGCAAGGACAGCGGTCACTATATAGTAACTGGTTTATTATATCCAAAAAAATTTTTCATCCTTAGTCTCTGTCATGAAAAATAATTGAAAAAACCTTTTAATGCTTTTTTAACCTTATATTTTATAGATAAATAAATATGTATACAAACAGTTCGCTCCAAAATGATAAAAGAGATATGTGTGGATGCAAAAGCAACAAACATCTTTCTTTTGATAAGAATTCTAAACAAAATTCGCTCGAGTCTTCTCTACCGATACAATTGGATCATGTTGATCAGTATTATTATGAATTAATGAAATTGTATTCAACATCAAAAAATTGTGGTGAAAACTCTAAAACCTCTGATTTTTGTCGCCAGAAACCACTTACTACTACATTTATAAGTAGTTCAAATTATTCAGCAGAATTTCAAAATTCAAATCTACTCTGTTGTCTCTGTTGCAGTGAACATGATATTGGTAATCATGATAAAAATATTGTTGATTATTTAAGCAGTTGTTGTCATTCACAGAAATTACAACGTATTATACATCATCTAATACTAATTTTATTAGGTATTTCAATAGTTTTGTCTATAATACTCTCTTTACTAGGTATTTTTTTAAATTATCGAGCTTGTTTAACAGCTGGTTGTATTCTAGGCATAGCGAGTTTCGGTGCGTTATTACATAGTTGTTTAAGGCATCGTGCATTGCCGAATTCATCAATGCCAATTATATTAGGCCAATCATATATGCATCCTATAGTGAATAATATGCCATTATCAATGAATAAACTTTATAGAAAACATCAACAATTTCCTCAGAGATATCGACAATTGTTAAATTACGATTATTCAAAGAAAGATTTAATCAAACATTCATATTTTGCACCCAGAGATGGTTATTATACTGACAACCAGGATTATAATAATTTTAAGAATAATCATGGTAAAAATATTCCAATAATAAGTAAAAGAAATCTAGATAAATTATGCCATACTTATCAATTACAAACTACCACTGATGTGGAGTATAATCATTCAGGTAACAAAAGAAATGTAGAATGTTCAAGTGATTCATCATCACTACCATCAATAACGTTGTCAGTAACAACTGTGTCAGGAGACGTAGTGGCGACGACATCAGTAGCAATAACAACACCAACAACAACAAAAAACACAGTAACCTCGTCACAAAAACGCTATGATGATAATGATAGCAATGAACAAAACAAATATCTACACAAGAATCCATCGAAGTGTGATGATAACAAATCACCAACTTTTATCGAATGTGAAATTTGTCGACCCAATTCATCACATCCCACGGATTACGAGTATCAAAGTAAGTATTTCAATTAATCAGCTGACTATCTGTAATTTGAGTCACGTGTAAATAAGGAATAGAAAGAAATAATGATAAGAATTTTATATTAAAGTTCTATCAAAAGATCAGAATGTTAAGGACTTTATCTCATTAGTGATAAATCTAGAAAATAATAAAATAAAACAACACATATTGTATGGTTTTTCTTTTATCATAATAAGTAACCCCTATTTCCAGCCCACCCACTATTCAGTGATAAGATGACTAACACTCAAACAAGGAAGGACTTACAGTATCCAAAAGGATAAAAAAAATTGGCAGAATATTGTTCTTTGTATAAAAGACTCTACAAATATGCTTAAAATTAACACGTAAACGTCTAGTCTATACAATTAAAGACCAAATAGTGATATATTCTTTATTCAACATCTCAATTATAATTCTTAATTTACATGTTCATCTGAACAGATCTCCTGAGATGTATAAAGTTTCTAGACACTCGATCTTATCATTACTTTACTCAGTTTATTTTTGAATCAGATATATTTTGTTTGGTCTACTATACTACGTATTGATACTACTATTATGATTCCATATTTGTTTGATTTTTTGTTCATATTATCCTACTATGAAATGCTTTCAGTTGTATGATGCATATTTGTAACAGGGGTTACGTTTTTATAATTGATAAACAATATAGATTATGACTACTTACTTACAGCAATTTTGCCAGAAGTTTCGAAAATTTCGGGTACATCATTATGATAACAGATAGGTTTCATATAGCAACGGCTGTCTCGTTTTTAATTCAGAACTATAGGATCTACACATAATAAAAAAATAAATAAGTTATATAATTTATTTGGATTAAAGTTTAGAATACCAAACATCCGTAAACACTAATGCATTAGCCAATAATGTCTTGTCAATCACATCTAGTCATGGAAATATTTCAGTGAGACCGAATAACTGTACACAAATCAATAATGAAAAGTTCTTATTAGCTTAAATATTTCATAATATAATATCAAAGGTCATCAAAGATGCGGTGTTCAGATAACTGATGCTCTTGATTACACCAAATGATATAGGACATGTTGACAGATACAACAAGAAACAGCTTCTACCTTTTCCATGTTATGAAATTTTATCAGCTATCGATCATTAACCATTTATGAAGTTAGGCAGAAGAATTTTTAATTCGAAAACAAAGGTGTACTTAATGCATTTGAATAATAACAACTGAAATGATCATTTCTACCCGGAAGTCTGTTCTAATACCGAAGTATCAATAACAATAATAATAATAATAATAATCATAAATAATAATAATAAAAGTTTATAGTCAGCTATTATTGTACAATTACATTCCACGTAGAATGATTGGATCTTAATTGAACCAAGTAAATGAATTAATAGATATATTCAAATTCGTCTCACACTGCATTAAGCCAATTTAAATGCCAATATATTAACAGCTAAACAAATTGACGGAATACGTTAACTGAAACTAAGTATAGTTAGGATTCATATTAACTTTCGAGGTTAAAATGTTCCGTTTTACAGTAAAAACGTGTTTTATTGTTAGGAAAGATGACAGAGGTAGAATGCAACTATTCTAACTATGGAGCTACAACATGAGTAATGTGTCAAAGTACTGTATGTTTGAGTAAAGTTTATCAACTGTATCCAAAACGAGAAATTCAAAACAAACCTAAAAGTAAACAACCCATTGCAAATAATTTTCTTATATCTTTATACTATGGGAACTATTGACTCCTAATAACGTAGAACCTCAGATTTAAATTACCTACCATCAGTTAGCTTTTAAAGACAGAGAGAGTGGCTTCAAACATAAATTGTTGATATTATTAATCAACATCATGTCCTTTCGTTTGCTTAGTCTAAATTCATATTTTTGAAGCATTACACTTTCCTAAAACATCTAAAGTATTGATGGTTCTACGTAATTTTTTTGTTCTAAAAATGAATAAGGACAATTGTATTAAAAAGAAAAGCTTGATATTTCATAGAAAGTTTGACACTGAAAAGAAACAGATATACTGGAAACAACAGAAATAAATGGTTAGGAAACAAATAACATATCCTGAAAGATAGCTGACCGAAAATCAGAATTATCGTAAATTTATAGTCTGCCTATTTTGTTTACTCAGCATGTGTGGTCAACCTCAAATACATAGAGCCATAGTTCTCTTCAAAAATGTTCTTTCCCTATGATTAACTCACCAAATCACAAATATAATAATTGGTCAGCATGAAAGCATAAGTGTTCTGTTCTCTGAAAGAATGAAATAAGTTAATTTTGTTGAATAAACCATGACATCAAATGAATTTTCATCTTTATTAACCAACGTACTGAATCAACAATCTACTAATACAGACTGTCATAATATCAATGTAAAACCTGTGTAAATGAATAAAATGAAGTGTATTGTGCTCAGATCGAATTTTGTAATACTCTATGTCATTAGATTATTGATGAATAAATAGGCAATCCACCTGAACTTGGATTGGCTAGCATATTTGTACTATGTTTGAGTGTAAATTTACTTAAAACTGGGATCAATGCTGAATCGTGTTTTACGCTCGTTTTTCAGCAAACGTCTGTTATCTTTCATAATTTATATTAATGTATAGAATGTAAAGAATTCAAATGAACTTCTGCATTCATCTGGAGATGGTCATCAACTATGTTGTTTATCAACAACGACAAACAACTTATTTATTCATTTTGTTTTTCATCTCATAGACACTCATTTTCTCCTAGTTCAGAACACTACAGCTGTGTGAACCCAAAACTTTACGCGAGCTCAAAACGTTCAACTATCATAACAATCACAATGTCATTAGACCAGTGAGTCGGTTAATCATGATGTCACAAGTTTAACTTTTAGTGTCGTTTCACTTGGAGAAATACTAAGAAATCAATAACAGAACGACGTAATCTGCAAAAAATGATAATTGGATTTTTATGACCGAAATTCATTGATGCTTTATTAATTTCATTTCGACTCAAGAAAAATTTGTTACTGTGCATAAGATAGGTCAATTCGATTACCATTGGTGGGGGAAATCTTTGATATTGTCACTTAATTGTGATTATAATAACCATGAATAGACTACAGCCAAAAAAAGCACAAATATATATGTGAAATGTATGAAGTAAACAATTTTATTTAACTCTATGAGTCTGTTTTTTTCATGGTCAGACTTTTTTCTAGAACATACGACATTACATTCAGAGATGTGAGATAAAAAAGACTTTATAGAAGACGAATGTTTAAACTGAGCAGATTATTACTTTATTCTTTGATTGAGGAGTTATAGACCTAATCCATTATTCTCTTAATATATTTACAACCTTTATAGGAAATCATATGGCTTATGCTCATTCAAACAATTTAGTCAGTGAATCAATGAACTATGTACCAAGATCCTCTTCACTATGTTCTTCAATTAAAGCTTCTAATGTACAACGATCACAGTTCACGTATTCTGATTCATGTGATTTAAGTTTATCATCAGAAATGAAAGCAGAATCACAAGATCAAATCAAACATATGAGTCCCATTCAACAAAACACATTTACTCATATACAACCAAATTCTTTAAATTCATGTGACATTGAAGCTGATAAACAGTTTCATCCATATTATTCTGGAAATCCATTATTTGATAGCAAATCAAATCTTTTCAGTCGTAATGAACAGCAAAAACATTTAAACTCTTTTATGATTTATCCGAAGTCTAAATCAAGAAATAAAATAATTTTAAGAAATTATTTAAATTTATTGGATGGATTATATCGTCATGCAAATCATTCACAGGGACCAAACTATTCCAGTGATCGTTTTAATGAAGAATACAACAATGATATATTTGATCTACGTGTATGGCTAAGTTAGAATAATTGGATAGATAAATAATGGAACTACTTTCTTAGCATCATTATACGTGTATCCATCAATGTAATGTAATGACGAACTAGTTAAAAGATATGTAGTGAATTGAACTTAGTTGAAGAATTATTAGAAGCTGGACCAGAGATACTAGGTGATTGTTGTCTTGCATACGTAGTATCTCATCAGTGTATGCATACATTTGTCTAACTTGGTATGCATCTCTATATTGTTTAAGCTCACATTACCACTGAATCGTTGGTCTGTATTACTTGAGAGACGTTCGTTATGATCCAACGGTCGTTTGAAGTAATCCAGTATACCAATCTGTGTTTAGCTTTCTAGTTCACAATCAACTTCCTAGAATAGTTGATTGAAGAATAAAAATTATTCGTAATATATCTTCAAAGATCATCTGATTTTACTAATTACAAACTTTATTCCAACTACAACAGCATAACTTTCAGGATTGCTATTTAGACCATGGTGTCTATTTTAACAAAACTTTTCCTATCAATTTTCATTTCTACTGAAATATAATCCGAACCTATTTTTTTTCTTGATAACTTTTTGCAAAAATACTTTTCGTTTGTAAGATTTATGTATATAACTAAAATAGAGATGTAAATAGATTTTCCACGTTTATTTAAATAATTGGATGTCAGACAGGGAAACAGTAGTAATAACCTGGTTACATGGTTACAATGAGAAGTTCTATACACAAACTATAATCTATTGCAACAAATATATCTACGATGCATAATTTATTCATAATTCTGAGAAATTCGCAGCAAAAGAACTTTACTGTTGCGATTAATTAATTTTTATCTTTAATTCCAAAAGATTTTCAATTATTTCTATTTTGACAATCTTCTTCACCGAAAGATAGATATGTTCCTGATAAAGTATTGTAGACTATCTTTAACACATTTTACGAATATGCTAATACAACCCGGTCTCATTCCAACAACGAAAGAAAAAAGTGTGTCGAACACTACAGTATTATCACTTAAATTTTAGTTTCCTATAAGGAGAGATAGATTGTAGACTCCTCATAAAATAACGTTAGTAAATAATATGTAAGTTCGATGGGAGATAGTAAATTGCAATAAGTGTTTAAAAATATCATGATTCACAACAAACAACAGCCAAGCATTTCTTTTCATCGCTATCATAAACGTAGAAAAACTAATTCGTATGAATTCGACACTGTTTAGGTTAATTTGCAAGTGATGACCGTAATTGTAAATAGATAGCAATTTAGGGAATTAATAAACAAAAAGTTATTTGGATTTGATTTTCGATAATAAAGAGATCTCAGTTAAGAAACGAAAGTTATTCTGTGCTGTCTTATACTCCTCAGTGGTATATATTTTCTGGGACTTCGTTTGGTATAAAATTTAATACTATTCATATATTTAAGATGAATGGTGTTTAATGTTAGAAAATAAACCTATAAAGATTTCCGAACATAGAAAAAACAGTCACTCAACATTTTGAATTGAAAAATATGGGTTTTTGACGAAAACAGTTCACGTATTAAACAAACCCTCAGAAATAACATTAGGAAGAAACTCATGTCCACATTCCTACCTTCCTAAAGATCACGTATAATGGCAAATAAATTGTAAGTTTACAACGAAACGATGCAGAAAACTTAGTTTGATACTATCAACAATGGGCTATGAAGTGAATAAATTAGCACTGAAACCAGTCGACACCAGTCGATACCGCTACTTATATTCCGTTGTTGATGAATTTAAAATACTTAGAATTAGATTCGTGGAACTTTATCCCGATTCTAAAATAGGCATAAGATAAACCTCAAACTATCAATTAGTCTACTTGAAAAATTTCAGATATCTAACTATCTTGAACTGATCATACCGATCAGAAATAAAATATCCCATTGAAAAGAAACTAAATACATTATGGAAATCCCAAGAAGCATTTCAGCTATCATTTTTATCACGTGCATAAATTATTTGAGATATAAAGTAGGATGGAGCCTTGGAAAAGTGTTGACGAGGAGTATTCCCAAGACCATGGTCGTGCAATAATTACTGTTCATCAAAACAAACGTCTCATGTTCTTTCTTGTTCTACCGTTAAATTTTACTTAAAACATGTATACATAGGCCAAATTCATAAAACAAGAAATGTTAAGATTCAAAATCGATAACCAGTCATGTGACATGGGTAGCCGACAAAACCATAGAATCTAAAAATGTCACTCATAAAATGCGTGAAACCCACCAATCGAAATCTCGAAAGGTTTTGAATTCTCATCATATTTACGATAAAACCTTCTTCTATTTGATTGCTTAACCCAGACACGCATCAAAATTTCGATATGATTGGTTTAAAAGTGACCTTGACCTGAATTAAACTATCTTGTGACGGGACAACTTTTACACGTGACTTTGGGGTGTCTTGTTATTTATAACATGCCATGCTTCTAAAAATGCTTCGACCAATTTGAATCTGCCCATGACTTTAAACTCAAGGTCACTAAGTAAACTTTTTATGTTAGCCTGTTAAACAAGGTGGGAAGAAGAAGATACCAAGTCTAGATCGGCCTGAGGAATTCTCACGAGTCAGCAATCAGGATGAACCGCTTTTCTCATTCAAACATTATGTCTAATTACTGCTTTGTTTCTCCCTGTCTAATAGCGTCCAAACCAATATTTCTGCAAATTATCCGATAGTTCATACGTGACGTGAATTTACGACATGTATGAGTTCTTTACAAAACTCAAATATGATAGAGACAGTTTTAATCCCATGAACGGGAGTCATCCATGCACACTTAAAAATTATCGGTTGTGAATAACCTGGGTTTGTGATTTGTTGTTAACCGACCATTCACTTATGTAATTAGAGTCATTTGGTATCACAACTATGACTTTCATTATAAATGAAGCGTATAGGGTCTCTGGCTGTAAATTTAAGAATGGGTCTATCATATCTTCTTCAGGCTGTCTTCAATAGTAAAATAAATGTTAGTTTTAAACTTTGATTGTTATACTAGTAGTTAACATTCTTCTGAATCATTCATTTCAAATGAGTTTCTTATTTCATGCTAATTGATTCTTTCATCAAGACTCTGCCTCATTACATACAATTATTACAATCAGTAAACAGTGTCATACAAAACACCAGCAATGCGCAGTCGGAAATAAAGTTTATCATCAGAATAAACTGTTCACCTAGATGTTAATCTCTAAAACAAAATGAAAATCTTTCTTGCTCGGACATAAATTGTGTGCACGGTGGAAGTTACTTTTAAACCTTGACATATTCTTATTTTTCAGTATGGGGTTGTGAAGATTATTGAGTTTTTTTATTGAGATCATAAATCCATCAATGTTAGACCATCATTACAAATCTGGAAGCACTAGGCGGCCGTTTCGTCCTAGTATGGGACTCCTCAGCAGTGCGCATCAACTAGTTTTACGTAGTTTTTACAGTAACCTTTGAAGAGTACTAATCTTTTTCAACGTTCAATTTTTCGACGATGTTATAATCAAGATTTTATTACATACTTAAAATAATCTGCCTACAGGTGGTCTTAGCAGTGGAATATACAAATCGAAAATGACCACATACGTGTTTTAACAAATCTGGTTAATCGCAAAACTGTTATTATTAACAAATGCCTATTAATGTTCACCGATTTATGTCCATGAAGTCGGAGCATTTACTGCATCTAGTGAAGCGTGCTTACGTGTTCGGTTATATGACAGTCGCGTATTAACACCATAACTCAATATAAGTTTAAAATTAAAGAGTGTAGAACCCTTGTTTTGTTCTTATCAAAGATTCAGTAACATAATAAAATCTATCTCCTCGTCAGTTCATACCAGAAAATTTGACGTATTATTAAATCAACGAATAATTCACGGTATTCTATAATCCTAATAAGGCACATATCTGAAGTTTGTGTTTGTATTACAACTGCACAATTCAAGATACAGTTCACAAACCATTCATGGATGTAAAATTTTATGTCCTAATGTCGGGTAACAGTTGTCTAAAAATGTTTTTGCATTTTAATTATTCATCATAGTGCTGTAACTTTATCATAAAAACCAATTTCGTGCAACTAAATCTGTCAGAGACTGAATGACCTTTACACTCAGACAGTTTCTCATTTTTATACAGTCCTGACGATATGCAAATAATTAATTAGCATTATATTGCATTATATATTTATATTTATTCAGAATTAGAAAGCTGTTATCACTAAAATAATTATTCTAATACCAACAACCGTAATAATTATAATGATAGGTTGAATTTGCATGAACTAAATGATATGTCATTTATATTTAGTTTGGTGAGATAGTGGAGAAGGTTTGTAGCTCAGGTGGATGATACCATCCAGCTCAGAGAACAAAACTCCATCAAAATTTATTTTGGTTTCTATCGCTCCAATAATTCATGCTTTCGATTAAGAGTTCAACAAAGATAACGACAAAAAGATTTATTTCTATGTCATAAATGCAAGAAAGTTAACTAAGTGGACCATATGGAATTCAATAAACAGAATAGTCCTTAAAATAATAAAACATTGAAAAATGAAACAGTTAACTTGTACTTATATGTGAATTAATTAAAATGTTGCTTGTAACAGTGAAGTTAAGTGTTTAATATGATTTACTAGTGGTCACAACTTACTCCATGGTGAAATTCGATCATGATTTTCTTCCAAAACATCCAATAAAATCAACTTCTGTTTTACAAATAAGAAATATATATCGAATATTAAAACTAGGTTCATCATCTAGAAGCTATGATATCTTTCAAAAAGTATTTAGAAGAGTTAAGAAACACCATAACAATCCTTTCTCACTCAGTGTTTGAACTGAACTGTTATTTGATATGGAATCTGGAGTCTGATTTTGCTATTCAGATATGATAGCTATGTTACTGATATGACATTAACAGACGTTTCATTAGAATCTGATTCATTTGAAGTATTTTTCTCAAATTTATTAAGGGGTCCTTTTGTTATAACTGGAGATTTTCTGCTCCGTCACCATCGCTGTAACTCAGTAGCCAACTTTTGTACCTGAGGAGCCGTCATTGTTATGTAAGCATCAGATTTTCTAAGTCCATAGTTTTACTGTTTTTACTTGAAAGTTAGGAATAACTGCAACTCTTTGATCCTACTTCTTATACCGGAAAATGGGGACCACTAAAATTCCCAAGATGCCAAATGAGAGCACGAAGGACTAGTGCAATGAAAGTTTGTTGACTACAAAACTCAACTTCAAATAAGTTTCAAATCACGTCCAGAATCACAACAATGAAATTACATCCAAAATCACATCGTCCTTAGACCATTTATATACCAAATTTCACGTACACTTTATGATAACACATTTGTAAGGTTACTGTAGAAAGCGGTAAATATAGCTCACACTTGTTATAAAGAAAAAACTTTGTACTAAATTGACACAAGAAAGTATTGACCTTGAAATGTAACACTGAAAGAAGTTCGAACATGTCAACTTGGATGAAATTCATAATGAATTTATACGAAAAATATTGACC